AGGAAGAATGTCCCTTACTTTGGGTGTCAATGGGAAAAAGGAAAGGTCCCTTACTTTGGGGGGTCAGTGGAAAGAATGGCCCTTAAATTGGGGTCATGGGAAGAATGTCCCTTACATTGGGGTCGGTGAAGAATGGCCCTTACGATTGGGGGGTCAGTGGAAGAATGTCCCTTACATTGGGGTCCAGTGGAAAGAATGTTCCTTACATTTGTGGGTCAGTGGGAAGAATGTCCCTTACAAAGGGGTCCAGTGGGAATAGAATGTCCCCTTACCTTGGGGGTTCAGTGGGTGAAGAACTGTCCCTTACAATGGGTCAGTGGGAAGAACGTCACCTCACATTTGTGATCAGTGGGGAAGAATGTACCTTACTTTAGGTCCGTGGGAAGAATAGTCCCCTTTACAATTGGTGGCGTCAGTGGTAAGAATGTCCCTTAGATTGGTGGTCAGTGAGAAGAATGTCCTTACATTGGTGGTCATGTGTGGGGAAGAATGTTCCCTTACAATTTGGGGGTCAGTGGAGAATGTCCCTTTACATTGGTGGTCAGTGGGTAGGAAGAATGTCCCTGACATTAGGGGTCAGTGGAAAGAATGTCCCTTACATTGGGGGTCAGTGGGAAGAGATGTCCCTTAGATTGGTGATCAGTGGGAAGAAAAGATGTCCCTTACATTGGTTGTCAGTGAGAAGAATGTCCCTTACACTTGGGGGTCAGTGGGAAGAATGCTCCTTACATTGGGGACCGTCAGTGGGAAGAATGTCCCTTACATGGGTGGTCAGTGAGAAGAATGTCCCTTACATTGGTGGTCAGTGGGGGGAAGAATGTCCCCTTACATTGGGGGTCAGTGGGAAGAATGTCCCTTACATTGGTGGTCAGTGGGGGAGAAGAATGTCCCTGACATTAGGGGTCAGTGGAAAGAATGTCCCTTACATTGGGGGTCAGTGGAAGAATGTCCCTTACATTGGGGATCAGAGGGAAGAATGTCCCTTACATTGGTGTCAGATCAGTGGAAGAATGTCCCTTACATTGGTGGTCAGTGGGAAGAATGTCCCTTACATTGGTGGTCAGTGGGAAGAATGTCCCTTACATTGGTGGTCAGTGGGAAGAATGTCCCTTACATTGGGGTCAGTGGGAAGAATGTCCCTTACATTGGGGGTCAGTGGGAAGAATGTCCCTTACATTGGAGATCAGTGGGAAGAATGTCCCTTACATTGGAGATCAGTGGGAAGAATGTCCCTTACATTGGAGGTCAGTGGGAAGAATGTCCCTTACATTGGAGGTCAGTGGAAGAATGTCCCTTACATTGGAGGTCAGTGGGAAGAATGTCCCTTACATTGGTGGTCAGTGGGAAGAATGTCCCTTACATTGGGGGTCAGTGGGAAGTATGTCCCTTACATTGGGGGTCAGTGGGAAGAATGTCCCTTACATTGGGGGTCAGTGGGAAGAATGTCCCTTACATTGGAGGTCAGTGGGAAGAATGTCCCTTACATTGGGGGTCAGTGGGAAGAATGTCCCTTACATTGGGGGTCAGTGGGAAAAATGTCCCTTACATTGGGGGTCAGTGGGAAGAATGCCCCTTACATTGGGGGTCAGTGGGAAAAATGTCCCTTACATTGGGGGTCAGTGGGAAGAATGTCCCTTACATTGGGGGTCAGTGGGAAGAATGCCCCTTACATTGGGGGTCAGTGGGGGGAAGAATGCTCCATCCAAGGATTGGTGAGCTGCAATACATTTCAATTTCTAGACACTCTCTGAGTTACATTCTGAAATATAAGAAGTGCAGTGATGAGTCTCTCATGGTTCCTGGAGGAACTCTCTATAATGTCTTCTGAACAAGTGACTGAGATTGGATGTCTCCTATGATATATCACCAGGCAGATAGCAGAGAATGCGGAAATGGTTTGATTTAGGACGGTTGGACACTCTGAGGTCTGGAAGTGTCAGATTTATGAGGCTCTTTGTGTGGAGAACGGTGGGAGAGGTGGAAGGGAAAGCTGATCTGATTGATGGCCTCGGTTGGCCTTCATGTCCATTTCTCAGACACTTTCCCTCAATCCTGTTTGGCAGAGGGACCCAGAGAAGTCACGAGGATGTGTAAACCTTCTTGGCTCATATTTGGACGAATATTCTAATTGTTTGGAACTTCCACTTTACAGCCATTTTAAATGACACTGTTGATGTTACAGTGAATGGAGAAGAGAACTCGCTAATTGGCGGCACCAAGCAACCCGGTGTCACACAGATTCCGCTGGACGTTCATCATTAGGTTGAGTTCACATGAACTTGGAAGCAGAAGCGAGTCCATGGCCTGCGCACTTACAAATCCAGTTTACAGCATTGTAGAAGAACACAGGGCAAAGCCAACATGGCACCGGGGTACAACACCATGGTGGGGTCATTTGCAGCACTGGGACAAGGTCATCAAGCACCCAGAGGGAAAACGCCAAATTGCGCCCCTTTCTGTTCATGATGTGCAGGCTTGGGGATCCACTTAGGGGGTGCACAACCTGAACCTCTTCCCAACTCTCCTTCACTACCCCCAGAGCTGATGCTGTTGTAACCAGGGGTGGACTGACAAATCATGGGGCCCCCGGGCAATAGGGGATCATGGGGCCCCTGTGTCTTTGTCCAAACTCAAAAAAGTCTATGAAAAAGGTACCAGGGACATCTCATGGGGGCCCCCTACTGACCCTGGGTCCACGGGCAGTGCCCGAGTTTCCAAATGGTCAGTCCGCCCCTGGTTGTCATTACTCCTGTCAGCTTTGTAACAGAAGGAACTCTGGGTCCCCATCCCTGCAACAAACCATTGTGCCCAGGGCAGCTGCCCCTCCTGCCCACCCTTTGTCCCAGCCCTGGTCATTTGACCTAAATTTGCAGAACGGGTGCACAGACCTGAAGGGCAGCCCAGTGGCAAATGGAAGCATTGCAAAGGGCAGGCTGACAACACTGCGGGGGTAATTGCAAGGCAGTGGGTTGTCATTGTCCACTTGAAACAGGAAGTGCGATATCCAGCCGGATCTTCACTTTAAGTTTTGCCTCCTTCCTTGGTCCCTCCCTTCCCCCTCATCAGCATGCTAACAATATTTCTGTTTTCATTACAAACCTTATTTAAACCCGGTGATGTCATCGCTGTGTCTATGTGCTTCTCTATGCAATGCAGGCAGATCATGGTTGGTGGGAGGGGCCAGCAGCGTGCTGTACATATCTTCCTGAAAACATCACAGCATCCTGCCTCAGTACTCCTCTCAAGAGCCCTTGGTCCTGATGCAAGCAGTGGGCTTGCTCTTGGGAGGAATTATGCAAATATAAAAACGTCTTGATGGGTGGAGTCAGTCTGGGGTATTGGCAGGGGCGGACTGACCATTCGAGCTATCGGGCACTGCCCGAGGGCTCGGGGTCAGTAGGGGGCCCCATGAGATGCCCCTGGTACCTTTTTCATGGGCTTATTTGAGTTTGGGCAAGGACACAGGGGCCCCATGATCCCTATTGCCCGGGGGCCCCATGAGTTGTCAGTCCGCCCCTGGGTATTGGGTGTCCCTAGGCGGGCTGTATTTGCATGAATTGAGGTGAATCACAAATAGCAACAAACGCCTTAAAATTTGTAAAACCTTTTTGTTCTTGTTACAAATAACAACAGGAAAGGAAAAGGCAGTCAACGCGTTTCGGGGGTCTGCAATCTCTCTTCATGGGGGGCTTTTCCAGCCAGGAAATGAGGCGGAGATCTCTCTGACTGGCTGCATCTTCTAACGCACATTGTGAGAAGCTCCCAGTGTGCAGTGAAATCATAGTAAGCCATACAATATCTTTCTTCCATGGTGGTCCTTGAAGACCTCACAATGGTCCCCCTCCATAGGCCAGTGACATACACGGAGGGACAGTCGATGGCGCTCAGTCTGGTTCCGGTCTAGAACCGTTTCAGTATCCTGGAATGGGATTCCTCTGAGACTAATGGACGAACCGAAATGTTGCCAGGGGCAAAAAGAGAAAAAAAAAGCGCGGACTGGCGACGGCGGCGAGGGGACTGCGCCTTCTCCTGCACTTCGCTGCCTGTGTGCCTCCCTGATTGATGTCGTAAAAGGAGCCGGTTAAGTAAAGCAGTAGAGTAAACACAGATTGTCAGCGGTAGAACTTTGCGGGAACACTTACCAGACCACAGGAGCTTAAAGCTTCGCCTCGTTTTACATTACATTTAATATATTTTTACTGGAAGCCGTGTAATGATGGCTGATTTCATAAAGTTCAATGAAAACTTTCCAGTAGGAGGTACGTTACATCTGTTCCTTTCAAACAATTTACTTTTTTCTCCGTTTTATCATCACTTAACCACTTCTAAGGGCTGCACCGGGCAATGGGATGGAACATGGAAATAGCTTCAGATCACACATTCTTCAAAAGGAGAGGCAGCTGTCTAGCGGGAGGTTCAGACATTGATGTAGACTTGGCCTTTCCAGAGCATAGTATACAATCACTCCACGAAGGAGCTTACAATCAGATGATCTGGGATTCAGGAGGTGGTCCTCAAAGGTCTGAGGGGTCAGACCCGAAAAAAGCAGATTATGAGTCCAGAATTCTTTAGTGCTGGTAATAGTTTGCTAACAGTAACCAACGCAACTTACAATCCACCGAGAGGTCCATTTGTAGACTGTCACGTGCCTGGTTAGAGGCTGAAGTGATGAGAGGGCCTGGCTTGCGGCTTTGGTCCAAACTCCCGTGGAGGTGGTGACAGGGACTGCAAGGAACAAAGTGGCAAGGTCCAGTTGGCTGTGTCTAGGGGTCGTCAGGAGAGTAGCTCTCTAGCCAGGAGATGGGAGTCTCAGAGGGATCATTGAAGAGAGGAGCAGGCCAGGCCCAGACACACGCGGAAGGCAGAGATAATGCAGGATAGAACCAACAAGAAGAACTGGAACGTAATGGTATGGAAGTCAAGGGCCAAGCCCAGATCATAGACTGGTGATCAGTAGGATGAAGATAAGAAGAGAGTAGTGGTTGGGAGCCAAGCCAAGGCCATGGGGGATCAGTAGGGTTGATGCCCATGGAGTGGTCAAGATCCAAAGCCAGGGTCATGCACAGGTGATCAGTCGAATGGAAAATTTTGTCAGAATTTCAATGTCTAAAAACGACCCTTGCAGTGGATCCTCCTTGCACTGCAAGGGTTAAATGTTTGTTAGCTGTAGGGGATGAGGAATGATGGGTAATATTTCCCTCACTCCGTACTCTGGCAGGCTCCGGCGCTATAGGCTGAGGGTGTACAGGCTCATAGAATGCAGGACTATGGGCCGTTGATTGTATTTGATGACATCATCATAGGACCTCAGACTGGGACGCCTCATAGAAGAGGATTCGGGGGACCAGTTGCACAGATGGAGGCAACCTGGGGGAGCGAGGAGCAAGGTGTCACACCTTACTCCCTCATCCTCTTAGTCTTCAGGGCAGGGGGAGTTTTTTTTTTTTTTTCTAATTCCCGGAGTTGAGCTTTAAAGTCCCAATTTTTGTGTTTCTGACGTCTGTAAACAAACATAGACACACAGGATGTATAGTCAGATCCGACTCCGAGCCATTTACTAATTATTGGGCCTTCCTAGCAGCACTGCATATAGCTGTAATGGAAATTTCCACTCATTTAATTCTATAATATCTACAAGACGTCCACCACATGACGAATTTCGAGGTATTACTAATTACCTCCGTGACTTTATAGATCCCATTAAAAAGCCTTTTAGACATTACAGATTTATTACCGTCGTAAACATTGTCACTTCATGTCCGTCAGGTTTCAGCAGTTAAAGGGAACCTCCGGTCTAAGAAAAAAGAAACTTAGGTTGGCCATAACTATCACCTCCCCCCTCCCCCAACTCAATGGCTGAGCCTCTGGATGTAATTGGAAGCATCTCGAGGTAGCTATGATCATTCATTTAGGTGTCCTCTTTTGCTTTTCTTTATAATAAAACCCCACTCACAGAGAGTTTTCCAATAAGTAGTCAACATGCCCTCATTGTCGCCCCCAGGCCACTTCCCATCTGGTTGTCACAAGCAGCACTCAGGTTGGGGCATTTCTGAACACTCATTAATTACCCACAGAAGTAGGTTTTTAAACAGTTTTACTTTAAAAAACAAAACCATACAGTGCTGCTAGTCCTGCTATGTGGCCATTGAAGCAGTAAGCCGTAAAGGCCTGAAGGGGTCAAAAAGCAAAGTAAAGAAGTGCCCCATTGTATTGTTGCTGGGTGTGCTGTCTCTTTACATTGGTGCTCAGGGTGGACTGTAGTGTCCCATGACATTGGTGTCATAAATATTTATATTTTCTTCAGCCAATCCACTGGGATTGGCCACTGGTGTGTGCTGGGGGAGGATATAAATATTTGGGACAAGTGCTCTCTTTATTTCATTGGGCTGCTGCTGGATAGAGCTCTGCTGTTAGGCCCATCATCCTGGTTTGAGGCCTATTGTGTGCTGAAGTGGTCCTGAAGCTGTCCTGCCTGGTCTGGAGGAAGCTGCACTAAGGAGGAAGGCGGCTGGTCTCCCGGAAGGGCCCGAGGACACACTGAGATGTGGGAATGTGTTTACAGTGTTGCCGGGCTGGCTTAAAGGTTCTGACACAGTAAAGCTGAACACTGATCTGGAGAGTCTGTAATCTGCGGCGGTATCTGGGACCTCTAACCCTAACCTCCTTACCCGTTCTGCAATAAAACTTTCAAAAGACAAAAAGAGACTGGCGCTTTCTCGGACCCCTCCCGTTTTAGCCATGGACTCTGGCTCTCACTATGGCGACCTGGGCTAGCCTGCCCCTGGAGGTGCTGTCCTGCCTTTGGGCTGTCAGAGGGGTGCCACACTTACATTGGTGGCCAGTGGTATAGTGGCCCTATAAGGTTCTCGGCCTTTTGGCTAAGATCAAGTGTAGTATCTGTTCTTATCAGTGTCCAGTGGGGGTGCTCCCGACCATTCTAGCTTTGCTTTGGATGGTTGTTGTATAGTACCCTCACTGGTATGATGGGGGTCCGGAAGGCTAGTACCGGAGGGACAGAAACCAGGGAGCGCCATGATTCGTTCCGGGGTCTTGGGAGTAATTCCTCTGGGAAGACTGGAAAGACCCAGTACCTCCTGATTTGGACGGATCTACCTTGGTCTGGCCAGGGGCTGGGGACGCAAAAAGTCCGCAAACTCAGTGCCCCCTGGGGAAGACGCTCTCAGGGGTGTCACGAGTAACACTTGGGTGTGGGACCCCACGGTGTGAAGATGACACATGGCCACTGTTTTTCACCTCTTTTTGCACAGCGCCCTAAGGACCAGGTCTTTTGGCTAAGTCCAGGGCAATTTTTGCTACGGGCCTCAGGGCCTGGTCTGTGCACAATTAGGCACGGTACCACTTTTTTATTTTTTTCTATTCTATTTATTATTTATTATGCACTCCCACGTTTGTCACTTTTTACTTTACTTATGTGTGTGTTTTTTCACGGATGGAGGGTGTGGGTCCTCGGGCATACCCTGAAGTCTAGAGGGAGGATGTGTGGCCTTTTGGTTCCTTCCTCCCCTGATCCCTAGGGGGCTTTTCTTCGGGAGAGCCCCCTTGCCTAGTACTGGATGTCCGGCTTCGGCTGGGCATAGGGAACGGTGGTCCACCAGGCCTTTTGGCCAGGAGGACCAAATGGGAACCTTGTCCCTGTCAGGAGCTTCGTGCCCCGGGGATCAGGGTAACGGTTCAACCCCTCCGGGGGGTAGGACAAACACACCCCTAAGTGCACTTTTTTGTGTGGTGTTCGCACTTGCACATTTTTTGTGATCACTTACGGGTTTTTCGTTGTAGTTTGCACGTTTGCGGACTTACAAAAAAAAAAAAAAAAAAAAAAAGGCCCTATAAGGTGGTAAGTGGAGAAGTGTCGCCTTACAATAGTGGTCAGTGTAATGTGCCCTTACAGTGGTGGCCAATGTAATGCCTCCCTACATTGGCTGTCCGTGGTGAGGTGCCCTGTACACTGGTGCTCAGTGGCGTTTGGCCCCTTTATATGGTGGTAAATGGAGAAGTGTCCTTTTACATTGGTTGTCAGTGCTAAAGTGCTCTGCTGCCTTGGTGGTCAGTGGGAGCTAAATATATCATTGGTGCCATTAGGTTACTTACCCGAGATAAAGGAAATGTATGAAACCACCCAACACAGCCTGCAAAGTGCTCCTTCTTTTAATAGCACCTAGTTAAGAGAGCACCTGGCATGCCACCACTCGTATGTAAGAGAGGTAGGGTGGTGGATGTTTGTCCTGTCTCCATGTTCCCTCCCCGTTGGGCACCAAGCAAGGGTCATACGAAAGGATTACCCCGGGGTGGGTTGTTCTGAGCTACGCTAGGCACCTTGTGCAGGGTCTCTCTCTCTACTTCACACACACATGGGGTACCTTATCTCTGTGCCGTTTTCACCAATGCTCTGGGACAAGGCTGAGGTTGCTGTCAGGAAATACTCGACCTTAAGGTGGGCCTTTACTTTTAGAGATGAATGTACGTGTACACCAGGGCGGGACTGACAACTCATGGGGCCCCCGGGCAATAGGAAATCATGGGGCTCCTGTGTCCTCACCCACTCTCAAACCACACCCACCCAAAAAGCCTATGAAAGGTACCAAGGGTATCTCATGGGGCCCCCTACTGACCCCGGGCCCTCGAGCAGTGGTCCACCCCTGGTGTACACTTGTATGACAACTGTTTCCCAGTTACTCTCGGGTCCCCACATAAATGTACATCTTCCCACTGTAGCTTGCAATTAGGTGGGCCGTGCCGAACACCGACCACAGCCACCCGTCCAGTGTTTCCCACTACCAGTCCTGGTAGCAGCATGGAACCCCGCCATGTACATAGGGTGGGTTCCAACATCCACTTGACATTAACTCTTAAACCTCCATACCTCAGGATGGGGACCTCTGTGGTGGTGCAGTTGGGGACCTCTGCTGTGAGAGACTGAATGCAGCATATGGAGTGACAACAACATCTCCCTCGTGGCTAGAGGAAATTCCACCTACAACAGGCTGCTTGCTGTCTGTACCGTTGTTCATCATGGCAACCACATGTATGACTTGCATTAAATGACTCTTAACGTGCTGACTCTTCATACTCCATGTGCTAGTGACCCAAGCTGTAGACTAAGTGCAAAATTGTGCCGGCTACTTACGTTACACCCCTTTGAGTAACTTCAGACCAGGCAGATGACAAAGTTCAAAAAGCTTTACTCAAGTTACGGTGCTACATTACAAGAGTCCAAAGCAGATCAGACAGTCCAGCAGAACTTCAATAAAACAGTCTATTTTCCTAATTATCTAGTCCCTACTCCTAACCAGGCTATGTGCTGTCCTGGTGTACCGGCAGAGGTGAGTTCATGAGTCCAACATGTTGCAGTAGGTGATGCCCCAAGTCTTGACGGCTTTATGACTTGCAGGCCGGCTGTCTTATTCTTACACTTCCCCAGGTGCATTGATCTCCAGGGTTCCAGGGAGGCGGCCAAGGCCAGGGATGTGAACCATGCTAGCCAACAGCAGCAACCAATCTTGGACCCCTGGGCCTCCTCTCACTGTGGACCTCTCTTGACCCGAACCACTGTCCCATTTTATATCCACAAGTGCAGTGGGTCAGATCCAAAGATCCCGCCAAAAGCCAAAGAACTGGGAAGAGCACCCTCCCGCCCAGGAGAGCACCTAACTAGCTGCAACCTGCCCACAAGCACACCATTGTCCGGAACTCTTCTTTAACAGCAATATGACAAGTTTGCCCCAAGGGCAGTTGTATTGCGCCCATGCAATCAAATTCTAGCCTTTATGGATATCTGAAGTACAGAAATCAGCATACAAGTACAGATAGAGTCACTTCAAAACAATTCATCTATGGACTGAAAAGCTCCCCCGAAGATCAGGCTCGCCTGTTCCCCGGCAGTATCTCAAAGCAAAGATCTTTTTGGTGGATGTTGGTTACACTGGCTCTGCCAGCCGATAAAGCCTTCAAGGCCCTTTGTCTTTCTGTCTTATGAACTTTGAATTGAACTCTTGCACCGGATCTGATCTGAATGAAATGTCATATCGCAGACCTGATGCTTATCTTTTAAACGTTTCCTTTGTCTCTTTCATTCTCCGAGCTCCAGCCTCCTGCTTTATTGTCAGTGCTTGGTGGCTTTGATCTTGCCTAGAGCTTCAGAGAGTCACAAAACCTTTCCCTCTGCTGGGACCAACATAAGGACACAGGTATCCTCGTCCAAACCCAACAGACAAGGGCCTGCTTCTTCTACCGCTGGAGAGCAAAGGACAGCGGGGTGACTTCACAGTCCATTGTCTCTCGTTACATGATGGGAATGGGAACATTCACACAGGTATTCCCACAAAAAAAGCCATGGACACCTGCAGTTGGGAACTTCTTTTTTTTTTGTGATGGATTTTTTTTTTCAGTGAAAGATGAAAGCAGAAAGATTAAAGGTCATAGATCCGCAGAGATTCAATAGTCGGGGTTTATGTAACCGCAAATGTGGCACCAGACATATACATCTGAAAAGAGAATGGCAACAATTTTAATGTAAAGAAATGAGAGAAGATAACCATAGAGGTCATGGTGAGATGGGACTCAAGAAGTCCTCCAACCAAATCAGTGCAGAGTGAAGGTATTCTCGTGTCTCATTCATCCCATATCCCACAAATAAGAGGGTTACTCCTCACTCAGGGACTGTGGACGGAGCCATAGAAATGATTCCTTTATGTCCTAATCATACGTTGCACTGTCATACTCACCTGTGCCTCGTTCCTGTGCCGGCACCATGCAACCAATCAGAGGTTGAGTATCCTGTGACCCTTGTATCCTGTGCTCCCAGTGACTCTTCTGTGTTCTGCTGCTCCTAGCACCCCAGTGCTCCCAGAGACTTTCCTGTGATCCCACCACCCCAGTGCTCCCAGAGACTTTCCTGTGATCCCACCACCCCAGTGCTCCCGGAGACTTTCCTGTGATCCCACCACCCCCAGTGCTCCCAGAGACTTTCCTGTGATCCCACCACCCCCAGTGCTCCCAGAGACTTTCCTGTGATCCCACCACCCCAGTGCTCTCAGAGAACTCTCTTGTGTTTCACTGATTCCAGAACCCCAGTGTTCCCAGATAATTTCCTGTGCTGGGCTCTAGTGATCCCAGCACCACAATGATCCCAGAGCCTAGTCTGTCTTCTTGTGATCCCAGCACCCCAGTACTCTCAGAGACCCTCCTGTGTTCCAAAGATCCCAGAACCCCAGTGCTGCCAGAGACACATCTATGTTGTTGTGATCCCAGCACCCCAGTGCTCCCAGAGCCTATTCTGTCTAACTATGATCTCAGCACCCCAGAGTTCCCAGAGACTCATCTGTGTTCCAGCACTCCCAGCACCCCAGTGTTCCCAGAGACCCTTCTGTGTTCTAGTGATCCTGGCACCCCCCAGTGTTCCCAGAGACCCTCCTGTGTTCCAGAGATCCCAGCACCCCAGTGTTCCCAGAGACCCTTCTGTGTTCTAGTGATCCCAGCACCCCAGTGTTCCCAGAGACCCTCCTGTGTTCCAGAGATCCCAGCACCCCAGTGCTCCCAGAGACCCTCCTGTGTTCTAGTGATCCCAGCACCCCAGTGTTCCCAGAGACCCTCCTGTGTTCCAGAGATCCCAGCACCCCAGTGCTCCCAGAGACCCTCCTGTGTTCCAGAGATCCCAGCACCCCAGTGCTCCCAGAGACCCTTCTGTGTTCTAGTGATCCCGGCACCCCAGTGTTCCCAGAGACCCTTCTGTGTTCTAGTGATCCCAGCACCCCAGTGCTCCCAGAGACCCTTCTGTGTTCTAGTGATCCCAGCACCCCAGTGTTCCCAGAGACCCTCCTGTGTTCCAGAGATCCCAGCACCCCAGTGCTCCCAGAGACCCTCCTGTGTTCCAGAGATCCCAGCACCCCAGTGCTCCCAGAGACCCTTCTGTGTTCTAGTGATCCCAGCACCCCAGTGCTCCCAGAGACCCTCCTGTGTTCCAGAGATCCCAGCACCCCAGTGCTCCCAGAGACCCTCCTGTGTTCCAGAGCTCCCAGCACCCCAGTGCTCCCAGAGACCCTTCTGTGTTCTAGTGATCCCAGCACCCCAGTGCTCCCAGAGACCCTCCTGTGTTCTTGTGATACCAGCACCCCAGTGCTCCCAGAGATCCTCCTGTGTTCCAGTGATCCCATCACCCCAGTGATTCCAGATACTCATCTGTGTTCCAGTGATCCCAGCACCCCAGTGCTCCCAGAGACCCTCCTGTGTTCCGGTGATCCCAGCACCCCAATGCTCCCAGAGACCCTCCTGTGTTCCGGTGATCCCAGCACCCCAATGATCCCAGAGACCCTCCTGTGTTCCGGTGATCCCAGCACCCCTATGCTCCCAGAGACCCTCCTGTGTTCCGGTGATCCCAGCACCCCAATGCTCCCAGAGACCCTCCTGTGTTTCGATGATCCCAGCACCCCTATGCTCCCAGAGACCCTCCTGTGTTCCGGTGATCCCAGCACCCCAATGCTCCCAGAGACCCTTCTGTGTTCTAGTGATCCTGGAACCCCAGTGTTCCCAGAGACCCTTCTGTGTTCCAGAGATCCCAGCACCCCAGTGTTCCCAGAGACCCTCCTGTGTTCCAGAGATCCCAGCACCCCAGTGCTCCCAGAGACCCTCCTGTGTTCCGGTGATCCCAGCACTCCTATGCTCCCAGAGACCCTCTTGTGTTCCGGTGATCCCTGCACCCCTATGCTCCCAGAGACCCTCCTGTGTTCCGGTGATCCCAGCACCCCAATGCTCTCAGAGACCCTCCTTTGTTTCGGTGATCCCAACACTCCTATGCTCTCAGAAACCCTCCTGTGTTCCAGTGATCCTAGCACCCTATTGCTCCCTGAGACCCTCCTGTGTTCCAGGGATCTTGGCACTCCAGTGCTTCCCAGAGACCCTCCTGTGTTCCGGTGATCCCAGCACCCCAATGCTCCCAGAGACTCTCCTGTGTTCCGGTGATCCCAGCACCCTAATGCTCCCAGAGACCCTCCTGTGTTCCGGTGATCCCAGCACCCCTATACTCCCAGAGACCCTCCTGTGTTCCGGTGATCCCAGCACCCCAATGTTCCCAGAGACCCTCCTGTGTTCCGGTGATCCCAGCACCCCAATGTTCCCAGAGACCCTCCTGTGTTCCGGTGATCCCAGCACCCTAATGTTCCCAGAGACCCTCCTGTGTTCCGGTGATCCCAGCACCCCAATGTTCCCAGAGACCCTCCTGTGTTCCAGGGATCTTGGCACTCCAATGCCTCCAGAGACCCTCCTGTGTTCCAGTGATCCCAGCACCCCAATGTTCCCAGAGACCCTCCTGTGTTCCATGGATCTTGGCACTCCAATGCTCCCAGAGACCCTCCTGTGTTCCGGTGATCCCAGCACCCCAGTGATTCCAGAGACCCTCCTGTGTTCCGGTGATCCCAGCACCCCAGTGATTCCAGAGACCCTCCTGTGTTCCGGTGATCCCAGCACCCCAGTGATTCCAGAGACCCTCCTGTGTTCCGGTGATCCCAGCACCCCAGTGATTCCAGAGACTCTCTCTCTTCTGTGTCTCCAGCACCCCAGAGCTCCTTGAAATTCTCTCCTGAG